GGGCGTGTGGAAATGAAACTTTAATAACAGAGCCCCTTTTGTTTCCGAGCATATGGGATATTTCATACATACTGAAGACATTAGCCGTCTATATTTTTAAGGGCTCGGGCTAAAGGATGAATAAATACAGCCCATGTTCTGCTCGGCACACACGCACATGCAGAGTGCTGACTTCTGGAGCATTTCAAAACCTAAAGAAAAAGCCCCCAGTGACACTGGACACTTAAAAATAAATATGTTTCCAAAACCTCAGACTCGCCTTGCCCCCTCAAACAGCCACCTGGAGGCCTTGGGGCTCCTTTTCTCCCACTGCCCTCCTTCAATCCCTTCTGCCTTTGGCTCTCTAGCAGGAAAAGCAAGCACCCCGTCTCCATCCCATTCTCTTTCCCAGTACCCCCAACCCCCAGCAGGATCCCAGAATGTCAGAGTTCTGAAAGCTTGTAAATCTCTGCCTTCCTTGTTTCAGAGACAGGAGACCAAGGCCCAGAAAGGGTCAGGGACTTGCCTGAGGTCACACAGCAAATCAGGATCTTGAGCCAAGGGGCAGTGCCTTCTTCTTTCAACAGGAGAGATCCCCCACTTCCTCACCTTAGGGTTGGGGGTGAGGAGACCCTAGGGCCCCAGAGGGAGGGCAGAGGTGTGGTCTGGGAGAGTGACTGCCTGCCTTTCTCACTAGAGGGCTGATTTGAGCAACCCCCCCCAACTCTGGGCACCCATCCAGGGGAGACATCAGCAGGGCTGGGAACTGGGCTGGTCCCAGGAAATCCCCTTCAGGCTGGCAGATCCCAACAGGCCTGGAGGCCTCAGGTGCAGGAACCTCCCTCCCTGACAGCTTGGCTTCAGGTGTCTGGTGTTCTCCATCTGTCCTCCAGGAGGAAGAACAGAGGCCCAGAGGGGGCTGGGCCTTGGTCAAAGTCACACAGCAAGATGATGGCAGAGCAGAAACATTGAACCTGGACTTTCAGAGCACACTTGCTGGCACGCTTTGAGGGCATGCTTGGTTCCTTGGCTCTCTCTGGTCACTATGCCTTCCTCTCAGTCTGCACTTTCCCTCACTTCCCCCTGAGCCTCCCCACTGGGCAGTGGCCTCAGTTTCCCATTTCTGTTAGAGTTCAGTCCCTTCTCATCAACTGTCTAACCATTCATTTAGTTTAGTTAGCACAGTGCTTGACACATAGACAGTGCCCACAATAAATGTGAACAATTTATGATGATGTTGATTGAGTTTCTACAATGCACCAAGCCCTATGCAGGCACAGGGGCTACATCAGGTTCCCGGAGGCAAGTCCGCACCCTCCCAGGGCTCACAGTAGAGAAAGGGCCTTCCTCTTTGCAAACCTCTTTTCCCCACTCGGGGGAAACTGAGGCTCAGAGAAGTCCAGAAGCTTCCTCAGGCCACACTGGTAGTAAGTAATGGAGCTGGTCCTCCAATCAGGACTTTCTGAGGCCAGAGCCAGGGGCCAGAATCTTCGGGGCCTCACCACTTGGCCCATCCTTGATCCCAAGACTGTCAGCACCATGTCACCATTGAGTGTCTTTATGTTTAGTGAGAGTAGGCAGCCAGAGCACCCCAAATCCTCCGTGACAAAGGGGTTTGATGTAGGAGAACTAGGTTCTTGGCCTCAATCTGCCACTAACCGCTGTGTGAGGGCCCCTGTCTAAGGACTCTGGTTTTTTCCTCTGTGAAGTGTTGATAAGCATTTCACTGAATTACGGAGATTATGTGATAGAAAGGATATAAGGGGGCTTCACTGAGTGCATGGTGATTTCCCTGTCTGAAATTTTGTGTTGTGGATGGATCCTGGCATTAAATCCTGACTGGGTTCCCACAGGTCCTGACTGGCCTCCTCACCAGCGGATGCCTCTCAGTGTGAGCTGCATCAGCCCCCACAGGCAGCCTGCTGAAGAAGCCCTTGCATCTTGTCACCTCCCCAGAGTGACCCAATAACAGCTTCCCATTTTCCCAGTGCAGCCAACCACGTAGAAGGACATTCAAGATTCCTGGGAACCTGGTCCCCACCTGAGTGCCCCCTGCTTCCCAACCCGGACCCTCTACCCACGTCCGTCTGGCATCCTTGGGCCTCCAGGGAGCCTTCCTGCCCTCAAGTGATCTGACCTACCACCACCACCATCATCTGCCCATCGCTCCCCCTTCTGTCATCAGCTCATTGATGACACAGGCCCGTGAACTTTGGTGCATGAACCTGCTGCTCTTTAGTAGGGACAGCTCAGAGGCCTTTTCAGAAGGAGGCCTTCAGATGAGTTCTTGGCTGGGTTCTGCATTAGGAAGGCTTCTGGGTAAGTGAGAGGTTATTGTCTAGATGCTAATTGTTTCATGAGATAATAATAAAGCAGCCACTCGTGGAGCATGTCCTCTGTGCCAGGCACTTGGTCTGACAGCCTGACAACCAGAGGAGGCTGGTAGGGAGACTAAACTGTTTGCCTGAAGCACTCCCAGCCTGAATGTGGCAGAGCCCATATTCAAGTGCAGCCTGCCTGGCTTCAGTGCATGCTCCTACCTGGCTTTTAGGTCAGTGTTTTCTACCCCCAGGGGCAGTATGAGCCCTGGAGGGATGAGATTCTGCCCCGGACTTTCCATTCTTCCCTCATCAGAGCTGAGCATGAATGAATATTTGCTGGAATGAACGCTAGAGTGGTCCTGGTGAGATTCTCTGATGGAAGGAGGTGGGGTGTGTGTGTGTGTGTGTGTGTGTGTGTGTGTGTGTGTGTGCTCGCACATGTGGTGCTTTGTCAGCCTTGCAAGCCCTGCAGGGCCCATGCCCACGCCCACGTGTGTCACCTGGAGGGCAGTGGGCACTCACAGGTGTGATCCTGCTGCTGCTGAGCATGAGGATTTTGACCCAGTCCAACCCGATTCACCCCTCCTTAGGCAACCTGGTGGTTCCCACTCCCAGGAGGTCACCCTGTAGATGGGCACAGTGCACTTCAGGCCAGAACTCCTGGGCTCAGGAACCCTCCTGTGTGTGTGTGGATGGTGAGGGGTGGAGAAAACAGTTCTTGAGTGGGCTCGGAATAAGAGGTGATAAATGCAGGCTTGAAGAAACAGGAAACCCAGTGCCCCCCACTCGCTAACTTAGCAAAAGCCAAAGACAGGCGGGTTGGTCTTAATTCCCAAGAGGGCACGCTGAGGCACTGCACTTGGTTCCCCAAACCTCACGGTCACAGATTTGCACGTAAGCGCCAGCCTTTACCATCCAGGCTCCCCTACTAGGGATCAGAACATAAGGAGAAGTCATGAGGTTACCACCCTCATAGACTACACTGGCTGGGCACCTGGCTGGGCCAGCTGGTGTAAAAGTCACACGCCATCTTCCTTCTCCCCCTCCCTTCTATGTGCTGATTTGGATCTTAAATGAATAGGGGGACTGAGACAGGGCAGGAGGTGGCAGCCCCTTTTGGGTCCCCATCCCCTGTTCAGCAGGACACTGGTAACCAAGCTCTGTCTCCCCAGGGGCCTCAGGAAGGCACCAAGGCCGTGAGAGGGGTGGACCACAGGCCCAGGCACCCTGGTCTCTGGCAGAGCAACCTTCACCAGGGCCCCCGCTGACACATGAGCCGTCCTGATCAGATCACCGTAATTGAGTTGCTTTGGGGGGTAAATTCCATCCAGATGTGAAGGGCGGGGCGGCTTCCTGAGCAGAGCAGGGGCGGGGCACTGATACACGGGGATCATACAGCCAACTTGCCAAGGACCAAGGAGGCCTGAGATACAACATCATCTTCCCAAAAAGCCAAAGGTAGAATTTCAGGGCCAGGATACCCGAGTCCAACCTCCTTAGTGGGAAGATTAGGAAACTGAGGCCAGGAGAGCCTCGAGAGCGGAAGGGACTGCTCAAGTGATAAGTGGTGGATTCCAGATCTCCCGTCTGGCCGGGTCTCTTAAGTCTGGGAGCTTTTAGATGGAAGTGGGCAAGGTAGTCCCTTCCCCGGAAATTCCCATCAGGCCTTGGATTAGGAAGTCAGGAGTGAGGGTCACTGAGTAGGGAATTT